TCGTTGCAACCAAAGGTTTTGGATTTGCTTTCTTGCAGAGTAATATTGCCAGCTGCGGAGGAAAATTTTGAAATCTGAAGAGCACAATTATTCGAATTGTAATTGAGAGTTCAACCAAGTACAAATATAAAATAAATCATATTTTATTTAATTTAAAATGAATTTTCTCTTATAGATGTCAAATAAATCGAATGTTATTGTCTCGTAGATATATGTATCTATAAAAAACGTAGTAAAGTTATATATAAATTTTTTTACACTATTCCTCAAAGAACTATTAATAATTTACAATAAAATACACAGTACGTTTTCATTTACTTTATTATATGTATCTGCAAGTATAATCTTATGAATTAATATATCTTTCGTTTTTCTTGATTGTACATGTTACATTGATTAAGGCAACAAGAAGCTATATTCATATGCAATCGGGTGTGTTGTGTATTAATATAATGTTTTACAAGCATTCTGACTCTTTAACAACTTTCCTTGTATATTGTCGACATGTTTCAAAGTAAATAACTTTCATATCTATATACATAGATAGAAGATAAAATTGCGTAACTAAAATTAAATAACGCGCTTTTTGATATATGATACAACTTTTCAAAAGATAAAAAGATATAAATACATGTTTTTACAATTTCAGCCCGATTAATTTGTATAAATAATTCGTTTTTATTATTATTAAATTTGCTACGCTTACAAAATTTTCAGTAATTAATAATCAAATAGACTGAGAATAACAGAGATGTAATTTTTCTATATATGTTCATTTAGTTGCAACTTTCCCCATAGCCATTTTCATTCCTATAAAAATAAATCTTATATTTTGTAAAATTATGGATACACAAAAGAATTTCTAAAATAGCACAATATAATTATACATATATTTACGATTATTAAAATCATACATAGGTTTATTGTGTTGTGTAAATAATGTTCAGAATACTTTAGAAGAGATATGGGATATAGGTTTCATTACGCTGTAATATATTTACGACAAGCACACCGTTTCTAAAATCGACAGTTTCTTATACGCACTTTCCTATTCCATATGAAGAAACAAAATGGCGGCTTTATCGATATATCGCACCTATCGATTTCAATGTCGCTTCTCTATTATCTAGGACTCTAGTCGGCGCCTATTGCGCGCAGTGTTACCATTCTACCGCGCGACCTGACCTACCGCAATATGAAATACATAGTTGGCTGCACTTACACAATATCTCTCTCTCTCTCTCTCTCTCTCTTTTAGCTTTACTTTATACATTTCCGCCCGCCTTCGTTAACGTAGTTGACGAATAAATTACAAACAAGATCGATCAACATTTAGAGGACATAACTTTGTAATTGGACGTTTTAATTCAGACGATTGAGTCTTTACTTTACTTTACTAACAACTCTTGTATGACCATCAAGTCCTGAATGAGTTTTAATGACTTTGCCCAAAGGTTACTTAGACGGTGGATAACGCTCATCAACCAAGAGAACCACTGAACCCTTGGTTATAGAAGGATTTACGCTATTCCATTTATAAATCGAAAGTTGTCTCAGTAAGTAATTCTTTGACCAGTGTGATAAAAAATGCTCGAGTTTTGTTGCAGTAATTGTCATTTATTCAATTGAGAAATTCGAACTAGTGATAATGATGGTTCAGGAATGGTTGAGAGAGCGCTTCCAATAAGAAAATGTCCCGGGGTTAGAATTGAAAGATCATCTGAATCGTCCTTGAGAAATAATTCTAATCTCAGAAGAGAATGAACAACGTTGAATAACCTTTATCCAAAAGTCACACTCTAAGATTTATATTACTAGCCATTTCTTTGAAGAGAAAACCGCCCACTTTGACGGACAACCGCCCGCCATGCAGAATTAACTTAAATGCGCTGTTTTCTTTTAAACTTCCTTTGTTATTAAATAAAAGTTCATAACACTAGAAAGAGTGTACATGCTAATGTTATAAGTGACGATAGTAAACGAAAATAATATTCAGAAGAAGCCAGATAATTATCTCGATACTAATTGATAATAAAATACAATGCTTTAGTTTTGTCCCGACTTGATGGGACTGGATTGTTCTTGTGAATCTGAGTATATCTCTTGCTTTCCAGAAGAAGCTTCACCCTTGTGTATTTTGTGGTGTGATGTTTCTTTCCACATTTCTGACAACGCTTAACTATTCTGCAATTCGAAACTCGATGTCTCCCTAAACAATTAAAACACAACTTGTGTTGAATTACGAGCTCTAATTTCTGATCTGTAGTCTTATCGAGATACCTTGAACATTTGGCAACGTAATGATCTCCCTCACAAATAGAACAAGTTGAAGTGCTAGACGAGAAAACATTGTCATTCTTTCCCTGGTAATACGCTTTAGCTGTAGCCTGTTGAGACCTAAACTGAAATTTGGTTCCTCGAGATTTCTCATACGCTTGAAGCGAGAAAAGACGAGTAACCAAGAATTCGATAAGTTCCTTCCATGACGGAGGGATTTTTGAGGAATCTAATTTATTTTCCCATTCTTTTACCGATTCTGAATCTAATCTTCGTACTGTTAAGCAAACAAAAATGGCATCCCACGTTTCAACTGGTTGTTGCAAAGTTTCCAAAGTTCTATGAATCTGAAGAACAGTTGTATATAATAGTTCTAACTCGACAGAAGATTCTTTTGTCGTAGGCTTTAGATTGACTAAGAAATTTAATGCCGTGTTGACCTGAAGTCTAGTGTTATCATAAAATGATACTAATGATTCCCATGCCTTTAAAAAGTTCTCTGCAGTTAATGTAGTGTTTTGAATCAAATGAGCTGCTGTACCAGTTAAACTAATTTTCAAGTATTGCAACTTTTCAACAGCCGTTAAGGATGTAGATACAACCATAGAATGAAACAAATCTCGATACTCAAGCCATTTTGCAGGATTACCATCAAAAGTAGGAATATCCATCCGTGGAAGCCTAGCATATGGTGAACCATAAGCCATCATATGGCTCGTCGAAGGAATTTCATGAGACAAAGATGGAACAGACACAGAATTAGTTAAAACTGGTTGGTCTGCAGTTACACTATCTTTTGTTGTAATTAGTTCATTTATGCGAGAACTAGACCTTACGACAACTGGTTCCTCTTCCCTAAGATTAGATTCCACTACAACAGGTTCATTTTCATAAAGGCTTGACTTTATCTGCTCAATGGCTGCTAGGTAACACATGCGTGTATCCGAGTGTAATGATTCCGAAAAGTATGAATGAGATAAAAGAGGTAACCTTTCTTTTCTTGGAATTCTAGTGAGAGCCATCAGAATGGCATCATTCTCCCTATTAAACTTAGTCCACAGATTTTCAAGAGATACCAAGTACCGATCTACTCGTTGTTGTGTAATTACTGAGGACCCTTCCATCAAAAAATTATCATAAGCGTTTGCTATGAAATTGCTTAATACGAGTTGTTGACCGAGACGATAGAATATTGATTCCATTGTATTGAATTTAAATTCGAAATTACTTTGGCAAAATAATTATTTAGAATAACTCTATTTGTAAACCTTCGCGAAACTCGATTTGCTGCTTCCTCAATCCGGATCTACTTTGTAAATGTATCAATAATCAGAATCAACTTTTTACTTTAATATCTTTATCCGGAATCTCATATCCGGCTCGAAGGACCAATGTTTAGTACAAGCTCGCGCACGAGCCTGGCCTCGTGATTTAGATGAGGAAGGAACAAATTTAACGAATCTTTGTTTGGAGAGAGATATTGTGTATCTTTATTTATTTGAATAAAAGAAACTTTCAATATTTCTGCTATTTAATGGACATCGGACCCAAGCAACTCGGACATTGCATCTTAGTTTGACTGTACTGACACATTATCCTCCTCCTCAGAAAAACTGTTGCCATCGAAATGTTCTGGCTCGGCACTTACTATAACATTCTGAACACGTGGCCGCAAACTATACGCCATCGTGCTCACTATTGCAAACCAACGCTTAGTACATCTCCAGGGTCAGAATGACCCTACACCGACTTTATATAATGTCCAACGCCTACTGCGTATTGCGCTGTACAATGGGAGCATCCTAACGTATAGTTAGTATCCCAAACTACAGCTAGAGGGCCTCAGGTCCGCCAATTTTCAAAAAGCTTTCAAGATATTTACGATAAAACTCGAGGTAAGGGTCAAATTGACCCCTTGTGTTCTCGGTGGGTTAAAAATAAATATGTCGTATCTTGTTCACTTGATTACAATTTTGAAATGCGTCGTATCTATAAAAATTGCGTTTTTGCGTTTGTTTTTCACAAATAATATTAAATTAAACAATAAAGCTGTATTTTAATTCCAAATCACTATACTTTTGAACAGTAAAATAAACTATCTTGTTTGTTGCTTATCAACAAAACAAAAATTTACGAATCCTGTAAAGTGACAGTTTTTGAGATACGATCTCCCCGAAAGATATCAGTCAATATACGATAGAAACAATAAAAAATATAAACAGGAAAAGATTTTGTCATCGTTAAAATGGAATTCGAACTTGTGAAGATCTATAAACGACAAAACATTTATGTTATTAGTTATTGATTATTTTTACTACCCAATCTATTGTAAGTATATGCAAAAGTTAAGTGACAAGTTTTTTTCTTCCAAGGTACAGATATATAGGAACCAACATCTCATGGAGTCGCATTTCCAAAATCCGCAGCCTGGTCACAACCACCATGTGCATTCCGGCCATCAGCCGCCGCCGCCGCCGTCGCTGAGCCCCCACCTCAATCAACTGACGCATCTCCAACTCACCGGCCACTTCGGTCACTACCATCAACATTACCAGCCCCCGCAGCAACAACAGCGAACGCAAATGCCGCTCGAATACCCAGTCACCGCGGCGAGTAATATAGAAGTACCCGCTACCTACTGGCCTTCGCCGCAAGGAGAGCAAGTACTTCCGCTGCCAAGTGAGTGGTCTTTACCTGTGATGTTATTCTGAAAGAGACAGGCTACCCATATTACTCGACAAATTCGAAGCACACTTTCTACCTAAAGAAAATCTGTCATATGAAAGATACGTATTCTTCACGATGAGACAGAAAGGCGGACAGTCACTGGAACAGTTCGTGGTGGAGCTCACAGAACAAGCCCAGAAGTGCAAACTAGGGGATCTACAGAACAGCCTAATTAAATGCATGATCACCTACGGAGTCAACAGCAACGAGATGAGGGAGAAGCTACTACAGGATGACTCACTGACGTTGGAACAGGCCATTCACCAATGCAAAGTGATGGAGAAGGCAAAGCCGCGAAAATCCAGAGCAAGAAGATGGAAGCCACCGGGGAAGCAACGGGAACAGTAGACTTAATTAAATCACAGAAAAAGTTAGGTCAGATACAGGTAGGTAAAAGTGTCTACAAAGCCAAAGAGAAAGTATTCGTTAAGTGCACGAAATGTGGCAAGAATCACAATTTAAATAATTGTCCGGCTTATGGAAAATTTTGCACAAAATGCAATAAAAAAAATCATTTTGCAATTGTATGTAAAAGTAACTATAAAAAGAAAGTAAATGAAATTCAGGATAAAGATGAGAAGAAAGTAGACACTCTTACATCCCAGAATAATGAAGAATATCTGTTCATAGGAGCGATTGAAAATAATAGCGAGAAACATGTCTGGTTAACGGAGCTAGAAATAAACGAGAAAAGAATGAAATTCAAAGTAGATACAGGGGCAATGTGTAATGTAATGTCAGTAGAACACTTAAAGTCGTTAAGGTTAGGTAACATTAGAGTTAAACCAACTTGATACAATGCTCAAGTCATATACGGGTGATAAGTTACAAGTCAGGGGTGTATGTACAATAAGTGCTAAGAAAAATAACAGAGTTTTTAAAATAGATTTTTATATTGTCAAAACTAATACTCCAGCGATCTTAGGATTATCGTCATGTTTAGAATTAAATATTATAAAGAAGTTGGAAAGTATAAACGATAGTAACACTTATGAGGATTTGGTGAAGAAGTATAAAGAGATTTTCTCGGGAATTGGCTGCTTCTCAAAGCCATATCATATAAAGTTAAAAAAAAAACGCGCAGCCAGTAATTCATCCGACACGCAGAGTAGCTCTATCTCTATTACCTAAATTAAAAGAATGTTTAGATGAACTAGTAAAACTGAAAATAATTGAAAAGGTGGAAGAGGCTACGGATTGGGTGAATCCTCTGGTCATTAGACGCAAGCCTAATGGCAGTCTGAGAATCTGTCGGGATCCAAAGGACTTAAAATAACAATATAAAACGCAAACAATGTTTAATTAAAACGTTAGATGAAATTACAACTAAATTAAACGGAGCTAAGGTTTTCAGCACGTTAGATGCGACGAGCGGATTTTATCAAATACGATTAGATGAAGAAAGCTCATATTTATGCACTTTCTCAACTCCCTTTGGTCGGTATAGATCTCTGAGAATGCCATATGGTTTAATATCAGCTCCGGAAGTATTTCGAAGGTTGTGAGCAATACATAGATGATGTTATTGTCTGGGGGAAAAACAAAGCGGAACACGATGAAAGACTAAGGAAAGTTTTAGAAACTGCCAAAAGGAACAAAGTCAAATTTAACTTAAGTAAATGTCAGTTTGGTAAAAGTAATGTCAAGTACATGGGGCATATTATCAGTGCTGAGGGTGTCGCGTTAGATGAAAGCAAAGTAACAGCTATTAAAGAACTGCAAACTCCTAAGTGTAAAGAAGATGTACAACGTGTGTTGGGAATGTTAACTTATGTGAGTAAATTTATAACTAATTTTTCTTGTGAAACTGAACCCTTAAGAAATCTTTTTAAAAAAGATGTACTTTTTACGTGGGGACCGGAACAAGAAAAAGCACTAGAGTCTTTAAAAAATAAATTAATAAACAAACCAGTGTTACAATTTTTTGACGTTAATAAAGAAACAGTAGTTTCAGTTGACAGTTCCAAATCAGGAGTAGGAGCGGTCTTGTTACAAAATAACTTACCGTGTGCGTATGCCTCGAAAGCATTAACTGATACACAGCAAAGATAC